TAAATCAGAGAAACACAGTCCACTGATTGTAAAGCAAGTTGGAAAGTACTCGAGGCGCGTTTTGTGCGACGGATCGAGGTTTTATTAGCAACCTCATTTTATAAATATAATCTGCATGCAAAGAATTGTGACCCAAAGCCCAAAGCTAATGCTTCAAACCCGAGGATCCTACAATGATTCCTTCAAGAGCTATACTTAAAAAACCTTTGCAGCCGACCGAACAGCCAAAGCGGTATTTTTTTCAAAATGTTAATTCACTGGAGATGTTAATGATTAACTTTCACGAGATAATTAGTTTCTCTTTATCGTCGTATTTAACACAATAAAACTTTTGAACATTCTCTAGGTATTTAATTTAGACGTCCAAAATAGCAAGCTTAGGTTCTCCCGTAGTTTCCACGGAAATAATATTGTATTCTGTTCTGAACTTCATTTCATATCGTGCTCTGCATCCCATATTTGATAAGAATGACATATGTCATTGGAATTAACGATGATTTGTTTCTCTTTATCTACCTTTGCCATTAAGTGATCATTTCATCTAGCCTTATAGTTAAAAAGACATTTAGCCTACTAATTCAAACCTATTAAAATGTCAATTTAACACCTGCTATAAAATAAAAGGTTTTGGTATTGCTTCCATGGAAACATTTTTTTAAAGATGAAAACAACATCATAATTTCAGAATGTGATGTCATCGCAAAAAATGTTAAATGGCACCCTATGTATTTTAGTATTTTGTTTTTTCTCACGTATATCTTAAAGTAAAGTAAATTATTTTATAAAAACAATTAAATACAATATTGAACTGCGGAGACCGTGTAAACAGAATGAGGAGGAATGGGACATATTTCGGAGGCACATTTTCGCGGATTGTTCGAATCGTGACTGAAGTTTTTTATATTCTCAACATCTGTATCTAATTTTTTGATAAGATGCTAGATACGTCCCCAATTTTACTTGACCTTCTAAGTTAAGAACAAATTTTAACTTGTTCATCACAATCCCTGCGGTTTACTCCGGTCGCCCTATTAATAGTCCCTTCGTTTATATTATTCTGATATTATTATAACTCATGTAATTACATTTTGGTCAGTATTTTATTTTCAATAGAGCCTAGGTACTCCCAAGCATTTCAAAGTCTTATTTATTAAATAGCCCACAAGCACCCCGTTCGTGTTACAGTTACGTGTTAAACAACACCCCTTAGGTGTTACAATGAGTACAATTTTGCTTTTTTTTGTTAAAACCTATTTTATAATTTAAAATTCAATTTTTCTAAATTGTGTTTAATCGTCATTGCTAATTCCAAACATCATTCGAATGAAATCGTCATAAAAGAGGGCTCAACAATGAAGCATAGTCCCCTTTTACGTGAGGTGGCTTACGGTACGTGGGTACCTCATATCTGTGCAGGTGCATACGATAAATTGCAATTTACATAATTTATTTTTCGACAACGTTTCATATTGTCCCAAACAATACAGCTGGTTCAATTTGTAGCAAAGGAGACATGCTAAGTTAAGGAAGAGATTCTTGTAAATTTTCTAATTGAATTTGAAAATAAAGGAAAATTAATTAAATCAACATAGAAGCTGCCATTTCAAAAGTATAACATATAACAAAATGAATGAATTAGAGAAGCAGAACAATGAATGATCTGGGTTCCCGTGACAATACATGATGGATAAGGTCGATTTCATCTCTGCTGCCTGCACTACACAATCCATAAGATAAGAGATATAAGGCTACAGTAACAATGGAATCATTTATTTGTAAGCCGGTTACTTGCTGCTCTGCTGTCGCAACTTAACTAATTATAGACTATTTCAGATATGATTTTTCAATCTGAATTTATTAGCTGTTTGTTCCCTTGTATCTACGTGTGCTCGCCTTTATCGTCTCATTGCAATGTGACATTCTTTTTAAATATACACGACAGATCGTTATATTCATTTTTTAATGCTACAGTCGGGAGGGTGGATCATTTATCAAATATTTATACATAGCAGGTAGGTACGGTCGTTATTGCAAGATTGCCTTCTCTTGTTTTACTCAACGAAGCAGCCCAGCGGCATTTGGCAAACGCCGAGTGTCATTTAGTTTTTGCAATTTTAATTGGATATGTGTGGGCCCCCAGCCCCCAGAAAATACTAGGTTCTTGATCAATATTGAAACAGTTCTAATTCAAAAGTGAAGTGAACAACCGAGTGGGGCCGTTATTGCGTGATGATTGATTTAAAAAAAACTTGGTGCTCGCGGAACAATTACCACTTTTTTCAAAGAATTTTCCCACACTTTTTGAATTACCATCAAAATTGTTAAAATTAATAGCAATAACTACCATAAAAAATTCATTTACATTTTCAGAAATCATTTATGTAATTAATTCGTTTGCTCTTTTTCATGTTCAAATATGTATTGTATCCTTTGTTTCACAGCAACCCAGAATGTTGGGAAGGTGTAAGTTATACAATAAATTTCTATAAATACAGGGTGAGTTTTTTTTTCATTTTAAGCATTGGGATTTCCGAAACCGTAAGACATGCAGATTCGGTTAAATGAGGAAAGAGTTGTTGTTTTAAGAGCTTATTTTAGATATGCTGTTGTTTTTTTTTAAATTCACACTTTACTAGATATGAGCGAAATACAGATTTAGTGATTTTTCTTTTAAATGTTATTAAAAATACACCCAAATGACACGAATAAAAGCTTTAGACATTTTAATGATTAACCTGATGAACATAGGTACTAATTTCCTCCTATATTTTACAACTTTTGTGTTATAAATGGTAGTTATTTTGGTATTTTTAAAAAGGACAAATTTTTCTCTGCCTAACGTACTTAAATAAATAAATTAATTAATTAATAAACGCGCTGCAGCAATTTTCGTATTATTGAGAGGTAAATAAAACGAGTTTGCCATGGAAAACAATATCTAGTGAGATAGGTAATAGTGTAACTGTGGCACATTTGACATATTTAAAAGTGATCTTCGAAAATTCACTAGAAAGTGAAATGAATAATCATATTCATTACACTATTAAAAATAGATCGTATCATGCCATGGAAATACTGCTGTTAAGTTATTTGTTATAATTGGCTGAGTAATTAAGAGGACAAACATGTTTCCCATGACAAACTCTGTTTTTACTACTCTCAATAATACAGCCAGTTCTGTATCATGTTCATTTGTCAAAGTAAGTACCTACAACAAATCACCGTAAACAGAAAAAAATGCACTTTTAAAAATGTCACAGCCAACTATGGTTGCCATTTAAAAAATCGTCCATATCTACTAAACTGTCGATTTAAAAAAAAACAAAAGCATAGCTTGAATAAGCTCTTAAAACGACAACTCTTTCCTCATTTAACCGAATCTCTATGACTTACGGTTTCCGACATCCTAATGCTTTAAATGTAAAAAAAACTCACCCTGTATATAGTATATTAAAATATTAGTTTATAATGTAAGCATTGTAAGCGATTAAGATTGGAGCATTGAATAAAAACCTTTTTCTTAAACTACTTTAGAAACAACTACTTTCGTCTCTTAAAAGGGCGAGGAAAATGTAATTTTCTTCTGTAGTGAGGAAAGTAAAAAACAATTGCTGCGTTAATGACATTTAAAATTTAAACATACCCCTATCTAGATTGCTATGTGTCAAACTTTATTATTGCGTACGATAATTTTTCAATTTTTAGTCTCAGAAAAAATTATGTGTAAAACTTGAGAAGAAAGTGTTTTTCAACTCTCGTACTCGGTCAAACTTTGAACTCGATTTGAAAAGATAAAGAATCCCTTCATACAATTTCTGGTATAACTTTTAAAAATCTTTGTGGAATTCTTCCCAGGTTATCCCATTGAATTCTCAATAGAATTTTAACACTCAAGGATGTCCTAAACGAAAAAATATGCAAAAGACTTCCCGAGATACCGTTGAAAAAGTCTTAGAAAGTTTCTGAAAAATTGTTGACTCTGAACAACCTCGGAAGAATTTCCCCATGAATTTCTGATTCATTCTCAGGTAATTGCAATTGCAGAATTGTAGCAAAAATATGAGAAAATTGCCGCAATTTTTCGTGAATTCTCTGGGAGTATTGATTCTATGGGTGCTTTCGTAAGAAAATTCTATTTCCACCACGGAGAGGGGGAGGGTTAGATATAGTCATTAACAGAATTTTCAAAAATTTGTGCTTGTTTGAATGACGTTGCAATGGAAATGTCAGTAGGGTGCCCGCACTGTTAAATAGGGACGCAAGAAGATTAATCGTAAAATCCTCAAAATGTGTGAGAAATAATCGAAACGTAACTAATGATACGTGCTACCGGAGTTTATAAACAAGGTCCTTTACAAATGATTTGTAAACATTTTAATCGGATTTAACCTTTTCGTATATGTGACAACGCTCACCGGTTTAATGGGATACCAAAAACATTAACAGAAACAACGACCATTAAAATTACAATATATTGATGAGAAAGTCCCGAATTACGTGCCGTCTTTCTTTTTCTAAACCGAATTTATACCGCCTGCGTTTCAGTGGCTTACTTTTTATTATGAAATATTTTGTAATCAATTTATTTTATAATGCGCCTGTTTTATGTATTTTATGTTAATTAACAAGTTTTGGTAACAAAATTCTGAGAATCCGTACCTGAGGTTGTTACCTCGGGTTACGTTCGAGTTTTAAAACAACTGTCAATTTGGAGAGTCAAAAATTTGAACATCTTAAAAGTTTATTTATCGCACGTGCATTTTTAAATTGTGACGTTTGGGTCGCGGTAAAAATATAAACGAATTCTTGACGAGGTTTTTGTAATACGAGATGGGGTCACAAAAACGACGCAGGGATCAAAATATAGCTACTAATAATAATAATAATTCAACTCTTTAACAGACAATGAGGTTCGTGTTTTAAACAAAACAGCTGCAATACCCTCAGTTTGTTTGATCTAGTAACGTAATTGGTTTAGCTAAGACTTTTAAATTAGGTACCTTTATTTGCGTGAAGATGACATCGTTCTTAATCGTCATGGAGGGGGAGAGTTGGCGATAGAGGATCTCCAACTGCACTCGTACAGCACGTTCGTGGACCACTGGCAAGCGGGTTAAGATATTCCAAACACTGAAAAGTGAAATATTATAAATTTAAAAAGGCTGCAGTAAAAAGTAGTAAAAGAATGTGCAGAATTAAAATATATTGGACAATCCTTACGGTATTTAGTAAAAGGCTTAAATAAAAAATTGAAAAATCAAATAGGTCCTTGCTAACAAATAAGCTATCGGTCGTTTTATAGATAGGAAGCACTTTTTTTATGACTGATGTATCTAATCAAAACAACAAGCAATGGGCTATTCTGATAGACTCAAAAACGATGGCGTACTAACCTAGTTCGATTGAAACTTGAGATTCTTCACCAGGATCGAGGGTAGACTTGAATCCGGTCATCTGTGAACAAACAGTGAGATTAGTACACCCGCCAAAGTATACTCATCAAGTGTGTTTGTTCAATAATTAATTAGCTAATCAGAGATGACTCAGGAACAATCATCTAAGAGTAACTAATCATTACATAAACGTACACGTTTGTAACGATTACTCACCAACCTTTAAAAACCAAAAACCTGATCTCCACGCAATACTAAATGGGGTATGATCAAACTCCAAGACATTGTTCCTTGGAAACATAATGACTGGCTACAGTACTTCTTCGCGGAGAAAAACCGTTCACTTCACTAAATTGGTATGGCTATAAATTCATGGCCATAACAATTCATATGGAGCGAACTGCTGATGACCATTCCAAGAATTACTGCTGCCAGTCTATTACGCCACCAAGATTAACGCTCAGAGAGTTAACCACAACTCAGTTAGAACTACAAAACGAAGATCGGCTAAAATTATTCGTTGATTCTTATTTTAGTCACTTTATGCACTATTCACTTTTCCCCCACTGCTAAATACACAAAAAAAATGCAACAAGTCATGCTTAGAACAGGAAAAATCCTACCTTTATAAGGCTGCCCTTCTGGAATCTGAAACAAAAGAAAATACCTTAAAATAATGAAGACATTTTTTCGAAATAGTTAACTGTGAGTCTATGTTTTCTTTTTGAAATACATTACGTTATGAATAGTGACTACGTATGCTCAAATTAAATATTATAAACGTACCCTTTAGCCTTATTCATTCCGTTTTGGACCGCAGGACGCTGCTACCCGCACTCGGCGTTCAGGCATGGTGAGTTGGGATAACTGAAAAGTGAGAAATATATATTACAAAAGAGCTCTCGTGGTTTTTGTGTAAAACTATAGTTACTGGACATTTGGTTTACATAAACTATGAGAAATTAACATGGTAGTAAGTTCGGGGCCAACCAAATCGGGTTATATTAAAACCAATTGTGTACTTACCTCATTGGCCCGAATCGTGGTCAACAGAATCGAGATCAGAAGTGGATTCCTCACAAGCAGATGAAGGACGAGGGCAGCGGAATCATCGGCACTGTGAACAATCGAAAAGTTGTGTAGGTAATCATGTTATTACAACCAATTAACGACCCTGTTCGTTTATTAATCAGTCTTTCATCCCTCTCGGTTTTACAATGTTAAGCTCATCTTATACATTAATAAGCGAACATGAGCCTATGGTGGATTAATCACTTACCTTCCCTTAAAAAACATCAAAATGATCTTCGTATGACAATCCTTGGTAATGAAAAACTTGACTGGAATACTTCCTCATAACCTGATTTACAACAAAGCACCCAATACGGCTATGAAACATAGTCATACCGGAGGATTTAGAGTAAACTGTATCATGCCACGAGAGAATCATTGCAATCAGTCTTACATCGCCAAGATGACTATACGAAGGTCGGTTAAAATAATTACCTGGTTGATTTTCTTTGTAGTCACAGTATTCACTATTCACTCCCCCCTCTTCTAAATACATAAAAAAATATCACAACCCATGCACAGAAAAAGAAAAATCCTACCTTTATAAGGCTGCCCTTCTGGAATCTGAAACAAAAGAGAATTCGTTAAAAAGATGAAAACATTTGTTCAAAGTAGTTAATAGTTGAATCTCTATGTTACTTTTGTTCTGTTTTTGGAATACATTACATTGTGAATGCTCAAATTAAATATTAGATACGTACCCTATAGCCTTATTTCTTCGGGTTCGGACCGCTGGACGCAGCTACCCGCACTCTGTCCACCCTCCTATCGTAATCCAGAATCCAAGGCTGTCCTTCTCGAATCTGAAACAAAGAACAGAAATCTACATTAAAACTATGCAAAAATACTACAAATTTCAAAATGCACCTCAAAGAAGCATGGGTAATTGTAACTACTGGCAAAACAAATTTCCCCTAGTACCAATTGCTGGCATTCACACTTAACAGAATTGCCACTTTCCAGTAAAATACTCATAATCGACGGAGGAAAAGGAAAAGCTACTTTCTTATTTAAAAAAACCTTTTTAAGAAAATTACAAAATTCGAAATTTCACATCTAATGCATATGAGATGGAGAGACGGACGAATGTATAATTTTCGTTGTGCTTTACCGCAAATATCAAGTTACTATTTTTCATCCGGGAAATAGAAACTGAAAATGGACATGCAAAACGAGAAATAGTTCCAATGTTTTGCATGAGGAAAGAGGAAGAATCACCATTGTAACCTGGAACATTCAAGGATGGAGAAGTAATGATAAAGAGGTAACTAAAGGAGCTAAAGAAAACGAACGTGGACATATTAATAATCAGTGAGACAAAAAAAGGGAATGGAACGGAAAATTTAGAAGGTATGGTACATTGTTGGAGAGCAGTAAACCAAGAGCGTAGGGCGAAAGCGGAAATAGGAATCCTCATGCAAATGCTCATGCTTTTGCAAATACCAGAACATGGTAAAAACGTTGCAACCAATTAATAAAGGAATAATGAAACTCAGTTTTGAGTATACGTAGAAGAGACACCATGATACTAGGGGTATAAGGACCCAAAGAGGATAGCCCAGATGCAGAAAAAAAAGTGAATTTATGGACCCTCTAACGGAAAAATAGAAAGAATTAAGACAACAGAACAAATAATCATTGCCGGCGATCTAAATGAAAGAACAGTAAGAAAAATTAAGAATGAAATAGTAGCGCAATTTTGGGAACATTGACAACGGAGAACGAATAATAGATTTGTGTGAATTATACGGGGTGTCAATTTTAAAACTTGCAGTCGGCCATATTTTCCAAACTAAAGATGATATTGGAAATCGCGAAAACCGATTCAGGGGTATCGAGGGGGAACCAGAGTGACAACCCCCATCCCCCTTAACCTCCCCAGTCCCCTCTCTTCAAAAATCCTAAATGGCAACCCCATACTTGTGACACATTGTTGGAAAGCTACTGAAAAATGCTCTCCAGTGGTACCAATAAAGTCAATATTGATTAAAGAAAATTTAAGAAAAATTTAATAATTAACAAATAAACTAAATGTTGACATTAAGGGATTTATGGCAAATTGGCCAAGAATTTCAACCTGAGCTGCTTCATTAAGGAATCTTGGTTGCTTTTTTTTTATTGATAAATAACAGATCCAGTTTCTTCGAATTTAGCGACCAAACCTTAAACATAGGCATGGCTTAATTTTTATTTTTTTTTGTTAATTATTAAATTTTTATTAAATTGTCCTAATGAACATTGGCTTTATTGCTACCACTAGAAAGCATTTTTCAGTAGCTTTCCAACGATGTGTCACAAGTATGGGGTTGCCATATAGGATTTTTGAAGAGGGGGAGCTTGGGGATTAAAGGGGGTGGGGGGTTGTCACTCATATCGTCATTCTGGTTAGCCCTCGATACCCCCGAAACGGTTTTCGCGATTTTCAATATCATCTTTAGTTTGGAAAATATGGCAGACTGCAAGTTTTAAAATTGACACCCTGTATAACCTCAAAATAACAAACGGAGAACACTACAATAATAATCAAAGATGTAAGAGTGAAAAGAGGGGCCGAATGCGGTAACGACCACAAATTGCTAGTAGCAAATATGGAATTCAGGTGGATGGGCAAGAAAACGATAAAAGGCACGATACGGCGACAAAGGGAGGAAAAGTTCATAAGGAATCAAAGCTAAAACTTTATCTGCTGGAAGATGAAACAGTATGGGAATTATATCAAAGAAGGTGAAAATAAATGCACGAATACTATTAGGAGAAATAGAAGAAACAACGAAATAATATAAATGTGCATGTAGCGAAACAATCAAGTTACGGCAAAAAATAATTAATTCATCGAGGGGGGGAGAGAGGAGCCTGAAGACGGCGAAATTTGATGGGTGTCCGGTACACCTTCAGAGTATTGCAAAAAATTCAAGGATTCTAGAATAACTCCCCTAAAAGTGGGTCCGAACGGAAGGAGGGTCGGGCGGACGGACAAAAAGTAAACAATAGCACGAAGATACCTTTGTGTATGTTATTGCTTTTGAAAAAGAATTTATTTACAAAATTGTTTCCCTACGTTACTCATTGCAATTGAAAATATCATATTAATAACACTTTCCGATTTACGCACAGAAGTACGGACGGACGGGTGCGAAGGATGGGTCGTCTTCCCAAGGATTTTACCTAATACGATTAGTCATAGTGGCTATACATACAGGGTGGTGCACGGTAAGTACAAACATAGGGATTTAACATGGGAAATTAGTTTTATGCAAAATCCTGCCCTCCTGTACATTTTACAGAAAAAACTGTAGAGTTTAAAGTTGTTCAGAATTAAAAAATGCATACAAAACTGTTTATACAAGTTTTATTAAGCTTTTCGTATACCCGCAAATTTAAAAATAAATTTCAACATTACCGTTATTAATGGCAATTCATAAAACAACAAAAGTCATGGCTATTGCTACTAAATAACAGAAATGTTGAAACTTATTTTTAAATTTGCGGGTATACGAAAAGAGTAATAAATTTTGTATAAACATTTTTGCATGCATTTTTTAATTCTGAACAACTTTAAACTCTACAGTTTTTTCTGTAAAATGTACAGGAGGGCAGGATTTTGCATAAAACTAATTTCCCATGTTAAATCCCTATGTTCCTACTTACCGTGCACCACCCTGTATAGTACGTTTAGTTGGCCCACTACATCTGGTGTGTGCATCTAGTTATTTACTACAGTATGAACTGAGATGAAAGATGAGTATTAGGAGAAAGGCAGGTGTCTTTAATTTATAAATCCGCATTTACTATGTGTCAGAAAAACTCAGCACTTGCAAATAAATACCACCAAATTAGATCTATTTTGCGATCAATTGGTGAGAAAAATCGTCTCGTGTAACGGAAATTGTTTGAACCTATAACCACGTAGCCCATTATCTATAAAACGTACCTAATTCAAAAATTTAAAATATTTGCAAATTGATTCAACGTAATTTTAGTTGATTAGTATAAATACGAGATTATTTTGAAATATTATCTTTTGATTTCACCTAAACGATCGCATCTGGTGATGACGTGGCGCGTTATCTCTGCACATGTGGCAGGTAACGCTTGAGTTTCAACTTTTAATTTAACATTCGGATAGTTTTAGAATGGAAATGTTTACACTACGATTTGTTTAATTTGTTCATATGAGAGTTAATAACCTGTTTTTCGATTTCCAAGTGATCCCATGTGACGAAAACCCACTTTGGAACATCTTAACCATAAGCAACTAGTTATCTTTTGACTAATAATGAACCTAAACCACCGAAAAAAAACCAAAACCTTTGCTAACAAATTTCTAAATTTTTGCGTCATGGTAGTGATTCCTAATAGGTACAAGAGGATATGGTTTTTTTATGATGGGTACATTTAACTACGTATCCTTTTACCGCCCGAATTAAATAATGTAAAAACTCACCCTTTAAGTCTTATTAATTAAGTCTCTCCAAGGGAAGAATCACTACGATACACCATTGGAAAAACACGAACTACAACCGTCGAAGTTTCTCGCGTTAATACAATCGAGATTCGGGATCGTGACGTAGACGGATAGGTATAGGTAACAAATGAGACAGAAAACAAGTGCCTTATCGGAATACTTTGCTAAGAGGTTATTTTTGCGCATTTCCCATCGTCAAAGGTGGAATTTATTCACAAATTTTGAAAACACTCAAAGTTTTGGGTACAGTTTAATCAAAATATGCAACGCTATCTAAATTTTGATTTGTTGGAAAATTGAATTTGAAGGTAATTATTTCAATTAAGTTAACGGATGGCACAAGTTTGTTGTTTGAAATTCTTATAGAGCACATTTGGGACATTGGTATTCTTTTTATGTTTTAACTTTAGTGAAAACCAAAAATTTTTTTCCGCTGGGGCATGACGGAATTGCTATTTTCTCACAAACACTATTTTATACACAGTTAGCCTAATTTTTCTATACTTATACAAATGGTTCCATACCAAAAAACTTAGTTTTCACGATTTTCAACACAGTTTACTAAAGCGGGACTTCTTCGAATAGAAAACCAGTTAAATAATACTAGCTCTCATTTATGGAAAAAAAATGGCTATTATGATTTGGGCTGCAAACGTTTTTAACATAAAAGTTAAACATGTCAAAAAGGGATAAATTTACCTATAAGACGTGACACATGAAATGTGTGAACGTCAGAAAAACTGAGCACTTGCAAACAAATACCGACAAATTAGATCGATTTTGCGATCAATTGGCGAGAAAATGTTCTCTTTGTTTTAACCTTTAACCACGTAGAGCGCATTATGTATAAAAGTGAGAACGTAATTCAAAAATTTGAAATTTTTCCAAAGCAATTAACGTAATCTAAGTTGATTAATATAAACACGCGATTATTTTGAAATCGTTTCTTTTCTTTACACATCAACGGCCGCATCTGGTGATGACGTGGCGCGTTATCTCTGCACATGTGGCAAGGTAACGCTCACAATTTCGAATTCTAATCAATATTGGGATAGTTTTAGAATGGAAATTTTTACACTTACGATTTATTTAGTTTGTTCATATGAGAAATAATTACCTTTTTGGATTTCTACGTTAACCCATGTCACGAAAACCCATTTTGGAACATCTTAACCATGAGTTACTAGTTACCTTTTCGCTATTATGAACCTAAACCACCAACTATAGAGAAACCAAACCTTTTGCAAACAAATTTTTGTTTCATGGTAGTGAATGCTACTAGCTACAAGAGGGTATGGTTTTTTTATGATGGGTACATTTAACTACGTATCCTTTAAC